GTTGAGAATTTAGAGGGTTCATATGTTGTGGGGTTGTTAACCAATCTCATAAAACAACATGTGTACTACTGTTTCATGAGAAACTATTTGTTCTGTAAGCCTTCACCTGAAGTACAATAAAATAAAAAATAAAAAAAATGCACTGTGAATCCAAAGGTAATTTTTGTACTGGTCAGCAACTTTATTAAACTGGACTTGCTAAGAAGATAAAATAGTTGCGCCAACAGTAGTGTCCTCTGACTGGGTCTCCAGAGGTAACAGCCTTAGGTGAGAGGGAAAGTGGACCTGCTCTAGGGGATAGGAGTGGGTAAGGGCTGTGCTATCAAAACCTAGGTCCTAGACTCAGCCACCTGGCAGGAGATACTGAGACTTAAGTCCTAATAACAGTAACAACTAACATTTCTGAACACTTGCTAGATACCACCTACTTGTTTAACAAGTGACTTATTCCCCAGAACCATTCTATGGAGTGGGTGCTATTATTTCCCCACAGATGACAAAAGTGAGGCATAGAAATGTAGCTCAAGCACAATCGGTACACCCCCATGCCTGTGCATAAGATGCATTGGCCAGGAATAGAACCTGGGTTTCCTGCATGAAAGGCAAGAATTCCACCACTGAACCACTGTGTAGGTGATAAGGCTGGGGTTTAAAACCAGGCAATTTGACTCCAGAGCCTGTGTTCTTAACCACTGTATTCTAATCCCCCAAGAGAAGGAGCCTGGGGCCCTGAGCAGCTGAGCAAATATGCAAGAGAAATCATGAATATGACCTCCATTGTAAGCCACATCTACTCCTATGGGGGTACGGGAAAAAGATTGCCAGAACTGTGAAAGACTCCTACCCTGGAACCAGGGATGGTTATTTGGAGGCTGAATGATAAGTGCCATTTTTAGCTTTTCATTTTTATGCACACTTTTCTTTTTGTTCCTTTGCGGGCTACTCCTCTACTTCCCTTAAGTACTGGAGTGCCCCAGGCATTTGTCTTGTGCCGTTTTCATTCTCTATCTACACTCTCTCCCTAGGCAATCACATCTAGATCTTTATAATGATTTCCTAATGTGTATCTCCTTGAGGCATGTCCTAGCCAATGCACCTGGCATGCAGCCACCACCCATCTGTCAGTGGAGGGTTGTGTTTTGCTATGATGCTGAACAGGTTTCAGCAGAGATTCCAGACTAAGACAGACTAGGAAGAAAGGCCAGGCAATCTACTTCCAAAAATCAGTCAGTGAAAACCCTATGGATCACAACAGTTCAATCTGCAATTGATCATGGGGATGGCGCAGGCCTGGGCAGCATTTGGTTCCTTTGTGCATGGGGTTGCCACCAGCTGGGGGCTGATTCAACAGCAGGTACCAACAACAATGTATATCTCCAGTTCAGGCCTTTTCCCTGACATCCAAACTTGTGAATACACCTCCCTACTTAACATTTTCATCTGGATTCCTCACAGGCATCTCAAACTTAACATGTCTAAACAGAACTCTTCATTTCTGGCTCAATACAAACCTGCTCCTCCCACAGGCTTCTCCTTCAGTAAATTTATTTAACAAATATTTATTAAGTGCCTACTAGAACAGTGAACAGTACAGACAAAAATCCCCATCCTCAAAGAGCTTACATTCTACTGGTAGGGGACATATAATAAACAGGAAAAATAAATGAAATGATACATTAGACATATCAGTATAAGTGCCAACGGAAAAACAAAGCAGGGAAGGGGTAGGGAGTGTAGGGGATTGGGCTGAAATTACAAAAAGGGTGGTGGTGTACACAATGGAATACTATGCAATGATAAAGAACAACAATGAAGCCATGAAACATCTTATAACATGGAGAAATCTGGAAGGCATTATGCTGAGTGAATTTAGTCAGTCACAGAAGGACAAACATTGTATAAGACCACTATTATAAGAATTCAAGAAAAGGTTTAAACACAGAAGAAAACATTCTTTGATGGTTATGAGGGTGGGGAAGGAGGGTGATGGTTATTTACTAACTAGATAGTAGATAAGAATTATCTTAGGTGAAGGGAAGGACAGCACAGACTACAAGGGAAGTCAGCACAACTGGGCTAAACCAAAGCTAAGAAGTTTCCTGAATACAATCAAACACTTTGAGGGACAGAGTAGCAGGGGTAGGGGTCTGGGGACCATACTTTCAGGGGACATCTAGGTCAATTGGCATAACAAAGCTTATTAAGAAAATGTTCTGCATCCTACTTCGGTGACTGGTATCTGGGGTCTTAAAAGCTTGCAAGCGACCATCTAAGATGCATCAATTGGTTCCAACCACCTGGAGTAAAGGGGAATGAAGAACACCAAAGACACAAGGAAAGTATTAGCCCAAGAGACAGAAAGGGCCACATAAACCAGAGACTTCATTAGCCTGAGACCAGAAGAACTAGATGGTGCCTGGCTACCACCAATGACCGCCCTGACACGGAATACAACAGAGAGTCCCTGATGGAGCAGGAGAAAGGTGGGGTGCAGAACTCAAATTCTAGTAAGAAGACCAGACTTAATGGTCTGAGACTGCAGGAACCCTGGAAAGCATGGCCCCTGGACTCTCTATCACCTAGAACTAAAACAATTTCCAAGGCCAACTCTTCAGACAGGGATTGGACTGGACGGTGGGACATAAAGTGATACTCGTGAGGAGTGTGCCTCTTAGCTCAAGTAAATACAAGAGACTAAATGGGCAGCTTCTGTCTGGAGGTGAGATGGGAAGGCAGAGAGGGCTAGCAGCTGGTTGAATGGACATGGGGCATCAGGGGTAGAAAGGAGGAGTGTGCTGTCACAGTATTGGGAGAGCAAGTAGGGTCACATAACAATGTATGGATAAATTTTTGTATGGAGACTAACTTGTAAACTTCATTTAAACTACAACAATAAACAACAAAAAAAGGGTAGCAGTGTAGGCAAGTAAGAGGAGCAGAAAAAGTCAGAGAGGTAATGGAGGCTAGATTATGAGCTTTTATTTTGAGGAAGATGGGTAACCAATGGAAGATTCTGAACAAAGCCATGACATGAGCCGACTTCTATTTTAATAGCAGTACCCTGGCTGCTGTGAATACACTGGAGAAGGGATGTAAGGATGACAGCACGGAGAATGGATAGGAAGTTCTTGCAATAGTCCAGGTGAGAGACGATGGATGATGAGGACTTGGACTGGGATCATGGAGGAGCTTGTGAAGCAGGCTCAGATTCTAGATCGATTATGAAGGGGGCCCTACCATCCACCCAGTTCAAGCCAAAAATCTAGGTCTTATGCTTGATTCTGTCCCTCCCCTCATATCCCACATCCAATCCATCAGCAAGTCCTTGTCATTCTATCTCCAAAATATATCTCAAAGTCAGTTTCTATCCATTTTCACTGCCCTCACAACCCAGTTAAACTGCCATTACCTCTGGCCTGGATTGCTGCATAGCATCTTATCTGATCTCCCTGTTTCCTCTTTTCCCTCCTACAATCCGTTCTCGACAAGCAGCCAGAAGGATTATTTAAAAAATTAATCATATCAAGCCCTGGATTGGAGTCCTTTAAGAGCTTTCCAATACACTATGAATAAAGATTTAAAATCCATATCATGAACTACAAGGGCTGATGTGATCTGCCCCTAATGACCTGTTTTCATCTCCTTCCCTTTCTTCCTCGCTCACCCTGCTCCAGCAACATTGGGCTCCTTTCTGTTCTTCAGCTCACTAAACTCTTTCCCACCTCAGAACTATGCTGTCACTTCTGCCTGGGTCATCTTACCGTATTTTTTTTCCATGACTGGTCCCTTATCAACGGTCAAATGCCAGCCAACTGTCACCTTCTCAGAGACCTCCTTGATCTAGTATAGCCCATACAGTCCACCACACCCTGTCTCATGGGAAATAAATACATATACTTTAAGTATGATCACAGGACAGTAAATGAGGTGGGGACTCTTGAAGCAGAGGGCTATCATACACTGTCAGGACCAGTCTCCTGCGTAACACTTGAATCCCCTGGCAACGTCCAGGTGATATGCACTTGACACCTCCATTGAAACGGACTGCCCTAGCTGCTGGACAGCTTTGGTATTGGAACTTCCTTATTCTGAGGTGAAATCCGTTTCTCTGAAGCGGATACACTCTTATGCACCTCCAGGGCAACATAAAACAGGTAGAACCCCTCTTTGACAGAACAATCCTTCTGGTTTCCAGGGCAGCCTCACTGTTCTAGTCTCCCAATCTTTCTCATAGGCTCGTTTTCCCATCCCAAGGTTCCCGCCGGAGCACTCTCCTCTAAAGGTGTTCATTGGTTCTTCCTCTTACCTCCCGGCGCCCAAAACATACCCCCCGCCCCCCGCAGCAGTCTAGGTCGGGCCGATGGGATCAGCTGGGCACCAGCTCCTTCCATCTCCCAGGTTCTCTACTTTTAGAAATGCGACCCTCCATCTGCTCCTTAAGCAGCAACCTCCCTGCCCCTTCTGTATGTCGCATCTTCCCAGCTAGAACAAGCTTAACATTATCTCCCTGTCTTATGCCTAGCACAGCGCCTGACACAGAAAGATTTCTCTAAAACCGCTGGTAGAATTTTAAAAATGCATAATTTGTCCTCGGGAACTCACAAGACTCCTATACAAACAGCGAATTCGGAATCCGAAACTGAGTCTAAGGCTCCGCCCCGCCCTCGGTAGCGCCCCACCGCCCACCATCGCCTCAGCTCGCCCCGCCTTTCCATCGCTCGCCTGCTCGGCCTCTCCCTTCAGCCCACTCCACCTGAGGTCTTTCCTTTCCCTTTCTCCGAGGCCGAACTGCCTCTCTGGAGCCTATAACCCTTGACATTTCCCTACATGCTGTCCAAACTGGGAAAGCCTTTACTTTTAGGCTATTAGCAAAATGGTGACACTCTCACTACCATGGGTACTCCTCCTTCACGCGGAACTAACCGGAAGAGATTGTCTAGCGCCTAATTCGTAGACCCGGAAGTAGATGTAGCTCACGGAAGCCGGCTTTGGCCCTGCGGCTACTGCCGTCGCCGCGGAGAGATTGTTGGACCTGGCAGCCTAGGAATGGTAAGACTTCGTGGTTCGCCTCTGAGGGTTTTGAGCGGAGTTAAGGGGTGAAAGGAAGTTTCTCAGAGTGCCTCCGGGGACGACCCCCTCCAAAGGTTTGGGGCCCCGCCCCAGTAGCGCCCCGAAAATCTGCGCATGCGTGGACCGTCGTGGGCTTGAAGCCGGCCTGAGGTGGTACGCATGCGCAAATGTTGCATTCCGAAGGTGGGATGAGAATTGAGCGGGCCTTTACCCCGTCACCCCCGACCAGTGGGCCTAAAACTGTGGCTACGAGGGCATCAGGGTTCACTCGGTGCGCTGCTTCTGAGTCGTAGAGCTGACTTCATCACCATCCCTACTCCGAACCCCTGGAACGGACCTGGGCTGACACCCTCCTCCATGGGTGTGCACTCGGAGGAGAACAAGGGGCGGAGGGCCGAGGAAGGGAAATGGACGCAGACTTAGCCTCAGTCTACACTCAGGAACAGGCCCCATCACCCTCTTCCCAGTGTCAAGATTCCTAGCCTTATCCTTTGAAGCTACGCGACGAGCGCACCTGGGGGCAGAACCAGAAGCTGCGCTAAGAACCGCCCTGGTCAGACAGGGCAGACCCGCAAGTGGAACCGCACCCCCTCCCTCAGAGCCCTGACTTGTCTGGAGATTAGGAGTGAGGGCCTCCAGGGCGGGTGATACTCATGCAGTTCCAAAACTGCGTTTTTTAAGCTTCCACAAGGTCCCGCCCACTAAATATTTAGCCCAAGCTGCAATTAGGAAAAACAAAAGAAAGTCGAGATGGGACTGTTGGAGTGCTATCTCCCTTTCCTTCCAGGGCTTCCAACCGGTTTGTTCCGTTCAAACCTCTGCTGAGAATTTACATTTCTAATAAGTTTCCAGGCAATGCTAATGCTGCAGGTTAGGGACCAATTCCAATAACCACTAGTAGAACAGTGGTTCTCAGAATTTATTATACGTAAGAATCACCTGGGGGTCTTGTTAAACTGTAGATTCTGATTCAGTATATCGGGTAGAAATGCAAATATTCAGGAGGGGTTCTAACCAGTTCATTTCCTTCTCCCTAGTTTGGTCTGGAAGGGGAAAAGTGGTGCAATTGAACTGAGTGAGCAGCTAAGGAAAAGAAAAAAGTGAGCCAAGAATCCCTTGTTTCTTGCTAATTTATAGTCAAGGCTCTTAACTTAGGGGCCATGGGTAACATTAGAGGGGTCTATGAGCCCCATAAAATAGTATGTGTTTGTACATTTTTCTGGAGTCCATAGCTTTTATCATGTTCTCAAAGATGTCAGTGGCATTCAAAAGACTAGTAGTTTGTAAGGGTTATATTGGCATAGTAGGGCCTGTGTCTCTTTCCTTTCCCAGTGTCTTCCCTAGTTTATGGGACCCTGGGGAGCCTATGGAGGAGCCCTGGTAGTGAAGTGGTTAAAGTGCTTGGCTGCTAACCAAAAGGTCAGCAGTTTGAACCTGCCAGCTGCTCCATGGGAGAAAGATGTAGCAGTCTATTTCCGTAAAGATTATAGCCTTGGTCAAGGTCATAGAAGCTCCATAGACACATCCAAACTCCCCAAAGGACCATATTACTGGGCTGAGGGCTGGGGACCATGGTCTTGGGGGACATCTAGCTCAGTTGGCATAACATAGTTTATAAAGAAAATGTACCACATCCTACTTCGGTGAGTAGCATCTGGGGTCTTAAAAGCTTGTGAGTGGCCATCTAAGATACTTGCCTGATCTCACCCCATCTGCAGCAAGGGAGAATGAAGAAAACCAGGGACACAGAGGAAAGATTAGTCCAAAGGACTAATGTATCACAGCTGCCAAAGCCTCCACCAGACTGAATCAGCACAACTAGATGGTGCCTGGCTACAACACTGACTGCTCTGACAGGGATCACAATAGAGAGTCCCAGTCAGAGCTGCAGAAAAATGCAGAACAAAATTCTAACTCAGCCACACACACACAGAAAAGACCAGATTTACTGGTCTTACACAGACTGGAGAAACTCTGAGAGTATGGCCCCTGGACTCCCTTTTAACTCAGTACTAAAGTCACTTCTGAGGTTCACCGTTAAGCCAAAGATTAGACAGGCCCATAAAACAAAATGAGACTAAAGGGGCACACTAGCCCAGGGGCAAAGACAAGGCAGGAGGGGACAGGAAAGCTGATAACAGGGAACCCAGGGTCGAGAAGGGGAGAGTGTTGACATGTCGTGGGGTTGGCAACCAATGTCACAAAACAATATGTGTATTAATTGTTTAATGAGAAACTCATTTGTTCTGGAAAACTTCATCTAAAATACAATAAAGATTACAGTCTTGGAAACCCTATGGGGACAGTTCTGCTCTGTCCTGTAGGGTCTCTATGAGTCAAAATTGACTCCACAGCAGTGGGTTTGGTTTTTGGTTTGGGGAGCCTGTGCCAGTGTAAGGTAGTTAGGCTGGAAACTTGAGCCTCAGAGAGCCCCATTTCTCCTTTGCAGACTCGCCTCTCAGCCTCTACGCTCACCTGGTCAGAATCCTTGGATGAGCCTGTGGGACCCTTCTTCCTGGCCCTGTGGTTTGGAACCAGTGGCTTTGGGACTGTAAAAGGATGGACAAAGGTAGTATGAGGCCAGGCCAGCTCCCCAAACGTTCGGGCGCCAAGCATTTGCTGATTCCACCCTGTGCCTGGCACATGTGTCTTTTGGTCCTGGCTGGGCATTGTCACCTCCCCCTGGGTCAGCACCACCCGTGTACCTCTCAGCAGAGGCCACAATTGACTGATTTGTTGTTGAGCTTCCGCTCTCTGGCATGGCTGCATTTTGATGGCAGAGGGAGCAGTTATGCCCAGAGCCCAGTGTGTTGGCATCACCGGTCTGACCTGAGCAGCATGTGCTGCACGACATGACACGTGGCACCGGGAGAACTGCCCAGCGTTGAAGGTCTGGGCCAGGTCTGAGCCCAGATGGGATCTGGATGGCTGAGGAACTCCCACCTTAAAACTTCAAGTGTCAAGGAGGCAGGGGAGGGGCCAGGAGGGCTGGCAGGGGAAGAGGGGCTGAGGAGGGGCCCCATATGCAGAGGCTTATAGCCTGCTAGGTACTTAGGAGGCCTGAGTTCACGACTTCTCTTGTTCTAGATTCTCAGGGGCTGCTAGATTCAACCCTGATGGCATCGGGCGCTGCCAGCCGCTCAGAGGATGAAGAGTCGCTGGCAGGGCAGAAGCGGGCCTCCTCTCAGGCCTTGGGCACCATCCCTAAACGGAGAAGCTCCTCCAGGTAGTAAAGGTTCAGAGGGCCAGGGACTGGGAAGGGGAAGAAGATCTGTGGCATTAGGTGCTGCTTGCCTTCTCCTCTGTAGGGAATGGCTAACTGAGCCCGTCTGGGGCCTGAGCATTGGCAGAGTCTTGTGGTTTTCTTGTCCCTACCAAATCCCTCCCTGCGAGACTAAGGGCAAGGTGGGGAGATCTTAGGCCTTGACATGAAGTCTTTGTGGTGCAGTACCCTGGCATCTCAGGTGGAGCAGACAGTTCCATGCCCTATTGAGCCTAGCTCTGGCATAAAGGGGTGTATGAGTGTTGAGTGAGTACTGGGATGGGGTAAGGAATACTCACTCAGCAGGATCCTCCCCAGGTTCATCAAGAGGAAGAAGTTTGATGATGAGCTAGTGGAGAGCAGCCTGGCCAAGTCCTCTACTCGGGCAAAGGGGGCCAGTGGGGTGGAACCTGGCCGCTGTTCAGGGAGTGAACCCTCTTCTAGTGAGAAGAAGAAGGTGAGGAGTTGGGGGTGCAGGGGTTGGGGGATAGCCCCAGATTCATGTTTCCCCAGAACCTTTGCCAGCTGACAGGAGCTCTACAGAGGAGGCTTGTGAGAGGACCAAGCTGCCCCACCCCCAACCTCAGATGCCTGCAACTACGAGCCCATTTCTCCCTACTCCCCCTTTCTTGCTGTACCCCCCACCCTGCCAGTGCATCCTGTATCACATTCTGTGTAGGAGGCATGGAGCATGTATCTATTCTGGGAGCATGCAGTCTGTTCCCAGCATTGCTGGGTGTAAAAATAACCCCCAGGTGGCATTGCTTTAGCCCCAGACGCTGTAGCAACAAGAGTGTTTTCCTGGTATCCCCCTCCCATCCCCCACTTTGGGGTTGGGTGTGCCATCAGCAGACAAGACCCCATATGGTCAAGTACTGTGTAGAAGTAACTTGTAGGGGTATTAGAAGGAAGCAGGCTGAGCTTCCTCCTTGTGCTTCCTATTGCTGAGTGGGGCTGAGGCTGCCACAGACTACATCAGACTCTCAGCCAGAAGCCCCAGCTGCCCTGATGCTGGCTTTGCACTCCCTCTGCTCCTATCCTCTGCCTAGGTATCCAAGGCCCCCAGCACTCCTGTGCCTCCCAGTCCAGCCCCGGCGCCTGGACTCACCAAACGTGTGAAAAAGAGCAAACAGCCACTTCAGGTGACCAAGGATCTGGGCCGCTGGAAGCCTGCAGATGACCTCCTGCTCATCAATGCTGTGTTGCAGGTAGTGCTTCCCACCACCCCCTTTCCCCAGCCTCCAGTTCCCAGCTCCTAAACTAGCCTGGGAATGCCTGGTGGATGGCAAGGGAAGGGTTCTTCTCAGCTCTAAGGCTGGAGCAAACCCTCTGGGGACTTGCAGACCAACGACCTGACATCTGTCCACCTGGGTGTGAAGTTCAGCTGCCGCTTTACTCTTCGGGAAGTCCAGGAGCGCTGGTACGCTCTGCTGTACGATCCTGTCATCTCCAAGTGAGTAGGGCCGTCTCCAGCACTGGGGAGGTACTGGGGACACCAGAATTCAGCTCCTGGAGGAGAGAGAATTGTACAAGGGCCCAAGGGAGGGGCCTGGGAGGCAGGTCTCCTGGGGCCTTGCATTCTCTGGAATGATTCTGAGACCTGCCAGGATTCAGAGGGAAGCTCCTTCCTGCTTCCAACCTTGTTAGTCCTGGCATGATGCCAGAAACCAGGAAAGACTGCAAGCAGAGGAGGTAGTGTGGAGAAAATGTCAGAATGAGCACCAGGAGCCCTGGCTCCCCTACAGTGTGCAGTGTGGCTTTGGGCAGGGCTCCTCCCAGCTTTTCCACTCTGACTTCCCACAGTCTCTTCCTCCATAAGATGAGGGAATTGGATGAGAAGAATACCAAAGCTCCTTCCAGCTCCAGCAGCCAGGGTTCCAAATAAATCCATGTGCATGAGCACACACACAATACACACTCTTCTTCCTCCTCAGTGACTTAGTTTAATGTCTTCAGAGTCTGGTTGGATGCTTAACACCCATCTCGTCCTTCTCCACAGTTCCTGCTACCACTTAAGCTGTAGCCATGGCCCTGATACACCAGGAAATGGGCAGGGCTCAGCTCAGGAAAATGGGAGGTGGCAGGCAGTGGCTGGTGGGTGGCAGCTTTGGTCAAGTAAGGAGGAAGGTCTTGGGGAGGGAGCAGCAGCTGGTCTCGAGATCTGCCCCAGGACTGGGCCTCCAGGGACTGTACCTTTGAGTCTCCTTCACTGGGCTGAACATAGGAGCTTCAGTTTCCTGAGTTGCCTGTTCATTTGCTTGCCAAAGCAGTGAGGCTGCAGGTGCTATGCTAAGCCTTGGACTCTTCCTGTTGAGGGCCTGGATCTCAAAGGCCTGCAGGTTTAGGGGAAGTAAGGATCCCCACATTGCTTGATACCTTCCCGTCAACCCTGCCCTGCGCTCTGCCTCTCTCTGCCCAGGCTGGCTTGCCAGGCCATGAGGCAGCTGCACCCAGAAGCCATTGCAGCCATCCAGAGCAAGGCCCTGTTTAGCAAGGCTGAGGAACAGCTGCTGAGCAAAGTGGGATCGGTAAGGCCGAGGGTTGGGTGAGGAGTTGGACCACCTGGGAAGCTACTCATGTGTGATGACCCCATTGTCTGAGTATACTGGGGTGTGCTGTTCAGATGCACATCCATTTGCAGGGCCTTTGTGGACAGGACTCTTGGGAAGAGTCAAGCCTGGTTCCCTGAGGGACTGTATGTTTCCCCTCTTCCAGCTCCTGGTGGGGATTGGTGGTTGGCGGATGGGGGAGGCAGAGGCAGGAATAAGAAAACCCAGACACCTTAGAGCATATTTCTTGCCCTCCAGACCAGCCAGCCCACCTTGGAGACCTTTCAGGACCTGCTGCACAGACACCCTGATGCCTTCTACCTGGCCCGGACTGCCAAGGCTCTGCAGGCCCACTGGCAGCTCATGAAGCAGTACTACTTGCTGGAGGACCAGACAGGTAACTGGCCCCAGGAGCTGGCAGAAGCAGGTCTGCATGTATATGCGTGCATGTTTGTGCGTGCATCTGTGCGTGTGTATGAAGTGATCTGGGCACGGCTGTCCTCAAGTGCCCTGTAACAAATCCCTCAGTGGTCCCAGTGTCTTGCTGACCTCACTTTCCAACAAAAACTACTTCTCCTGGAGGGAGCGAGCAAGGCCGGAGAGGTCTTCAGCATCATGGTAAGGGGGGCCAAAATTGCCTGGAATCCTGGGCAAAAAACCTAAACAGTAGAGTTGTCTACCGCTTCTGTTTTGGGGTATTTTTCCTTGCCATATCTTACCATTATACAAATAATACGTGAGAATATTCTCTATCAATAACAATTCAAATATGAGCAAAATGTGAAAGTCCGCTTTGCCACTCACCCTCCCCTTTGTTTTCACCCTGAGATAATTACCACTTTTTCTAAGTTTCTCTGCTCTGTCCCATATCTCCTCCCACTGGGAAGTGTTGTCAGGCTGCCTCAGGCCATTCAGAAGTCACCACTGGGACTTCACACCCTGTCCCTCTGTCTTTCCCTTTCCTCAAGGCCAGCATGCTCTCTGCTTCATTTCTTTCCTCCCCATCAAAACTCTTGCCCTCCTAGGGACAAGTAAACACTCTTTAGTTGGGTTTGAGATTCAGGCTGAGATTTTCACAATGCAGGCATACTCAGCTTTTGCTTTCTGAACATTATTACACGCTGCCTTCTATATAGTTTTTCACTACGTAGTATTTCAGCTCTTTTGTTCCCTGCCACTTGGCCTTGCTAACAGGACTGTAGTGTCTGTTCTATAACAGCTTCCACTAGCAAGCGACTGTGAAACTGTCCCTGTAGCTTCTGGTTATCAAGAAACATCCTTACAGGGGAATTGTTACAAAGCTGCTTACCTGAGGGAAGCCCTGTTTTCCCTACTGAAGGACCCCCGAATTTAGTGCCCAGGAGCAACCCTCTTCGGTCTGGCAGCACCCAAACTTCCTGATTGTTCCCTGGGGCTCAGGTATCACTGAATTCCCCCAGAGAGAACAGAGATTGGATAAAGTTGAGTTTTGCCACTATCCCAGCCAATCAGCTAGCTCCTTTATCACCATTTTGGAAGTGCCTTCCTAATTTGAAAGTTATTTTATGTAAACTTATTTTTTAGCTAAAAGCCTTAACTTAAAGGTTTAATTTTTTTCTCTTCAAGAGACTTATGTGGGGATTTGACGTCTCCTTTGCTATTTAGAGCTAGGGTTCTCCAGGAGTTGGGAGGATACACTGCTTAGCTGTCAAGTCAGTTGAATATTAGATTGGTAGAACTTCAGGCAGCCATGGGGGGTTGGTGGGGTTGGTCCCCCAAGCCTGCTGTCTCCCCATGTAGTCTGACTTCAGGAAGGGGAGGAAAAGGAGCAGCGTTTGAGGCTCCTTTGAAGCACCCCTCCCTGCGCCCGGCAGGCAGTAATGACACCTCAGCTGTTTTCACATTCCTCAGCGGAGAGTTTCATGGGTGCTAACTGGGGGGTGGTGGGGCTGCTACAGAGCAGACACGAAAGTCCTGGGAACAGCAGGCCTGAAGACAGGTTCTCAGATTTTTTTTGACCCCAATACCCTTTACATTTTGATCAGAAAAAACCGGAAGGACTTTCATGAAACAATAGTTATCCTGAACATATCTCATGGAGTCTGATATTAACTGTCCTATTCCATTTCGCCTTTTGAAAAGTGAAATTAATTTCACGACCCATTAACGAGCCATGAAAAACCCTGGCTTAAGGTGGAGCAGCCTCCCCAAGGTCGCATTCTTTTCTAAGTGGGACTTAACTGGCACATGCCTCTCAGCCTCTCGCTGGGTGTGGCAGGAGATGTTGGGGAGCATATGATGTGGTAGAAGGAGCATTTTGGGTGTGGAACCAGGAAGGCAAGACTTTGATCCTAGCTTTGTCACAAACTAGAGTCAAATAGTTCCGGCCTCCTGTATCTGTTTCCTCATCTGTAAAATGGAGCTAATAGTGCCTTCCCTACTTAATTCAAGAGTATGGAATTGAGAGCCCTTTGCACCTTAAAAAACCATACAAAAGGTCAGTTGTAATTTCCTTTCCTTTCTAGAATCACCTCTGTGCTCAGCTAACCCCAGGAGTGCTCTGTGCCAAATTGGGGTGCAGCCCAATACAGTGTCAGGTTAACATTTGTTAATTTCAGCACTAAGTTGTTCACATGTGCTCGGTCTTTATTGCTTGTGCCCGTTTAGTTCAGTTGTCTGCTCAGCACCTTAGGGTTGAGTAGGAGACTCGGTGCTGACCCTTCCCCTGTCCTCTGTTCAGTGCAGCCGCTGCCCAAGGGGGACCAAGTACTCAACTTCTCCGATGCAGAGGACCTGATAGATGACAGTAAGCTCAAGTGAGTGGCTGGAATTGCAGGCAGGGGTGGAGGGGAGCTGAGCCTCTCCCATTGGGTAAAGCTTCCACCACGCTGCTGGGAACTGAGCGAGCCCCAGACTCAGCCTCAGACTCCAGTCGTAGCTGTTGGTGCTTAGTCCCCTGCTGAGCTACCTCTCTTCCTGTTGGGGCCCTGTTAGGCTCCTTTGCCTTAAGTCTGTCCCTACCCCAGGTCCAGGGGAGGCTAGGCTGAAGCTAGAGGAACAGCCTTCCAGGTCACTTGGCCAAAGGGGATGGGGGATACCCTCATGAGCTAAGTAGCACCCAAATGGTGATGGCAGGTGAGCTGGAATTGGAGCCTAATTCTAATTCATCCCTGTCTGACTGCCTTCTCGCCCTTCAGGGACATGCGAGATGAGGTCCTGGAACATGGTGAGTGTGCCCTGGGAGGGGGGCCAGTGAGAGGATGGAAGCACCTGCTGGAGTGGAGAGAACCAGTACAAGGCACTGGTGGCCCTGGAGTGTTTCCTGACCACCCCTCCTCACCCCAGAGCTGACGGTGGCTGACCGGCGCCAGAAGCGAGAGATTCGGCAGCTGGAGCAGGAACTGCACAAGTGGCAGGTGCTAGTAGACAGCATCACAGGTGAGAAGGCCAGGGGACCAGGGGTCAGTCTTCACCTCCCTTCACCCCATCCTGATCCCCTGTTGTCACCTAGCTGGGTACACCCTGATTTCCCAGGCCACTGACTCCTGTGCCTCAGTAGACCTTGCCGTAGGTCCCTGCCTCCCACCCCATCCTTTGGAGTGGGCCCTTCCCTGACCTTGCTTTTCTCCTAGGCATGAGCTCTCCAGATTTCGACAACCAGACGCTGGCAGTGCTGCGGGGCCGCATGGTGCGGTACCTGATGCGTTCCCGAGAGGTGCGGCGGTTGCTTCTGTCAGTCTTCTCCTTCACTGCCCTTTCTGTGTCTAGTCTCTGTTTTCTCACCCTTCCCTGGCCTAGAAGGAATGACCCCATTCCTCAGGTCCCAGCCCTCACCTGCCGTATTTCCCCAGATCACCCTGGGCAGAGCAACCAAGGATAACCAGATTGACGTGGACCTGTCTCTGGAAGGTCCAGCCTGGAAGATCTCCCGGAAGCAAGGTACCCCTCTCCCCACACTCCTGCCTCCAGTGGGAAGCAGTGTGAGGATGTCCCTGCCAGCTCAGTCCCCAGGAAGCTGCTCCAGATGCAGAGCTGGTACATGGAGGCTTCTGGCTTTCTTTTGGCTTCCCCCATTGACCGGCCCCCCTCTTCCCCTCTACTTTCACAGGTGTCATCAAACTGAAGAACAATGGTGATTTCTTCATTGCCAATGAGGGCCGGCGGCCCATCTACATTGATGGACGGCCTGTGCTGTGTGGCTCCAAATGGCGCCTCAGCAACAACTCTGTGGTGGAGGTGAGCTGGGTGGGAGGACGTTGGAAGGGCCAGGATGAAGCTAAGGGTATGGGGAGCCAGTAATGGGCCTGGCCCCCAGGCTCCTAATCTGTCCTGAGTCAGCCTTCTTGCACAGATCGCCAGCCTACGATTCGTCTTCCTCATCAACCAGGACCTCATCGCCCTCATCCGGGCCGAGGCTGCCAAGATCACACCGCAGTGAGGGATGGTGGCAGACTCCTGGGCCCTAGCTGGCCTTGGTTTCCCCTGCCCTTCCAGATCCTTCAGCTGGGAACTGAGGCTCCTGGAAAAGCCTGCCCAGAGTTGGCAGCAGAAGACCCAACTGCTAGCCCATGGATTTGAGCCTTTGGGGGAGGGTGGGGCTGGCCATTGGGAAGCCAGGCAGAGGCTGGGACCCTCCAGCTTCCCTAGAGCCAGAACCCCTCCCCCTCCTCCTCTGCAGACAGCCCTTTATCTCTTCCCCAGAGATTTCCACCTCCACTCCTGTGTCTCCAGCTAATTAGCTTCAGACTTTTCCTTTATTTTTTCTTTCTTGTAAATAAAAAGCACTGAGTTCCAAAGGTAGTTTCTTTTATTATTATTTTTTTCAATATAAAAAAAATGTGGGGACAGGTGGAGGCAGGGGCACATGCAGGAGATGGCAGAACCCCTCCTTGGCCTCAGACCTCAGCCCCCAGCCCCCAGAGTAAGGGAGGAGGTCAGGGGAACAGGCTGAGAAGGAGCCCAGGCGTAGGACCCACAGATCCCTAGCCCTGGGGCCTGCCCCCTGAGGCTCCAGCCCACCCTCTGCTGAAGGTCCTGATCACTGCCCTGAACCAGCGGGCAGCCTGGAGTCCGGGGGTGGCTGCTGCCCCTTCCTCCACCCTGAGGTTGGGCAGACAGCAGATGGCAGCATGTCTGGCAACACTGAGTTCTGGGGCTGCAGTCAGACCCCGGTGCCTTCTTCCTGAGCCCACTGGACCGTACCAGAGCCGTGGCAGCCAATGAGCACCATCTCCAGGCTGTGGGGGTCCCAGGGCAAGGCTAGGCCCCCTGGCCCTGGTGGGGACTCTCCAGTGCTGGTAGCCTCGGCCTGGCTCATGGGCTCTGGGGGCCCAGTCCTAGCCCCTTCCTCACATGGGGGAGGTGAGGCAGGGGTGCTGGGTTCGGGGCAGAGTTCTCCTGAGCCAGGGGGCTCTGAGTCTGATGTGGAGGTCCAGAAAGCTGAGGCTCGAGGCCAGGGGGAGCTCTGAGAGGCTGGGGGGCCCCAGGGCCAAGGTGCCATGAGGGGTGGGGGCCCTGGGCGAGGGTGGGGCCAGGTTCCACTCAAGACGGAGCCAGCTGGGGGCTGCAGGCAGTAGGAGGAAGCCCCAGTGTCTACACACAGAGGCTGCAGGAGCCCAGAGGTGCTCGCTGGGCACAGCCCCTCCCCATGGGGTGACAGGACCAGCTGCATGGCCTGGCGGAGTGACTGCAGGCCCTCTCGCATCTGCAGCACCTGCTCAGACAGCTCCATCACCTGCGGGGGAGGGCGGGGGCAGGTCAGAGTGCAGTCAGCTCCCTCACCCAACAGCGGAGCCTGCCCCCTCCCCCTCTCCTGCCTCCACACCCACCGCCTGCTGAAGCTTATCCAGCATGTCTGCACTCCTCGTCTCGCTGGGCCCGAGCGGGACAGTGAGTAGGCCATTCTCTGTGGACAGTGGGACAGAGTTAGCAACCGGGCTGGTAACAGAGTGTGAGGTCCCAGGTCTTTGCCCAGTTAGAGCAGACCACACTGCATGGCAGCGTCTGGCCTTGCCCAAGCTGCTGAATTTTGCCCAGAGGCAGGGAAAACACCTCCCACCAACCTTGGTCACACTGCCCGGTGCTCCCTGAACCCTCAGGAAGCTGCTCTTTGTACCTGTCTCATGTTTCTGTCCGCCAGGGAAACGGCCATTTCTAGGAACTCATTACCTGCCCTCTTCCCAGGCAACTGCCTGGGACCATTTCAGCTCTGGTTCCCAAGCGCTCTATTCCTCACCCCCCACCCCTTGCCCCCTCCCCACAGTGCGCCGGACATAGTGCTCAGTGTTTTAGCGAGGTTATCTTATTTAACATGCAAACCACCCATTTCATACACAGGAAACTGGGGCTCAGAAGAGCCAAGCTGGGTAGGGATCCAAACCCAGCTGTGTCTGATATCAAGGGCCTGCCCTTAACCACCAAACTCATGAAACAGAGCAGAGGTGGATGAGAACAAGAGGCTTCGGGCAGTTTGTACCCCGCTGGTTTCTCTAACTCTGGCGGCTCACAAGCCAACAGCGCTCTATCTAGGTTCACAGGCACAACGGGCTGCCTACCGACCTGCCCCTCCTGGCCCGTACCTGGTCCAGGGGAGGGGCTGCTGCTACACTCCGGGCCAGACTGCCCCACGCGGAAGGAGAACTTGGGCTGGTCAGAGCCACAGCCATCCTCAATGCCATCTACTACCCTGTGGACCCAGGCACCAGGACAACAAATCAATTGACAGGCAGCCACTGTGGTGTTGCACACAACAGGATGCTCCAGGGCCACACACAGAGGCTGCAGGGCCCCCAAGAGAAAGGTAACACGTGGCCCCTTCCCCTAGAAGCTGGCAGTTTGGCTGGGGAGTCAAGCTTGAGCAACATGAAGCAGCAAGAGAATACAGTGCAATGTGTGACCATGCACCTGGTAGGTGTGGGGCTGGGGCAGCAGGGAGAGTGGAGGAGTCAAGAAGGATTTCCTGAAGGAGGCAGGCTTAGACCAGGCAGGCTGGGTAGGTTTGAGCTGGGAGGATGGGCACAGGGCACCCACAAGCCTGGCCCACTATCTCCACCTCTCACCTGGGGCTCAGATCCGGGGGCACATTCCATGGCATGGGAGGCAGCCGCAGCCCCTCTAGGCTCCGTAGATGAGCAGAGGGACCGGCTTCAGCCTGCGATGCGGCTGTCCTGCCTGGCCGCCCTCTGCCACCTAGGCGGGGCCGGGGTGCGGCTCGCCTAGGGGATAGCAGCTTGGCAGCCGAGGATGAGGAGGTGCAGCCTGGGGACAGCAGAGGGCTGGAGGGCTCATCAGCTGTGGCTGGTGAGGCTGCGGGGCCCTGCTCCCCATCTGTCTCCTTCTCCTCCAGTGTGGACACAAGGGTGTTGTCGCCACTCAGGGAGCTGGTGTCCACCTGGGGGCAGTGGGAACAGGGAATCAGCCCCATGGATGGCCACGCTGCCACCCACTCATCCCCCCACTCTCAGATCCCCTAGAAGGGATGATGTCCAGTATCTGCCACTCTGCAAAAGAAGAGGCCCAGTCAGGAGGGGTGGCCTGCTTCTCTGCTGTCACCACAAAGCTGCCAAGCCCTGGAGATGTTCACTGCCCCTCAAAATTCTAGCCAAATGTGGACACGCCACCCTTCTTGGTCCCTCAGGCTAACTGAATTTTCCAGGAGAAAATGGTACTGAACACTGGTTTGAAATTAGTGTCATAATCCAGGAAAATTCAAAAGCCTCTCAGAACAGCCCTGTTTCACCCCGAAGAAGCAGGGGAAGCCGCCAGGCAATCTTCAGCACTATGTCCCTGTGGCCTCTGAGGCTGCTTGTCTGTTACCAGTGGATTCCGCTTCCTTCCTCCAAGACAGGGCCAGGCTGTCTCTGATGGGCTAAGGAGGGCAGAGGATGGCTGGGGCTTTAAAAGACAGATGTAGTGTATGAAAAGGCAGGGAGAATGTAGCCCCCACCCTATGTGCAGGAGCTTTCCCAGAGGGCCATGCCCTCACACACTGTGCCCCCACAAGCCCCAAACTCTGCCCACCCCATCTCTCCATGCACGTACCCAGCGCCCTCACCTCCGCTGGGCCTCCCCCAGCACCCAGGTTGTAGCTGAGCTCCCCTCGGAGGCCACGGCTGAAGCGCGGGGCAAACTCGGGGTATAGTGCAAGGCTCTCATGCAGCCCCGCCAGCTGCAGACACTGCAGGACGCAGTAAGTCAACCCCTTCACGTCTGCATTGGCCTTTACCACCTGCTCCCGCCGGGGCAGCTCGCAGCCGATCAGATCTCCCTTCCCTGGGGACAGGAAGCAGAGGTCAGCCCCCCCCAACCCTCACCACTGAGGAGAAGAGAAGAAGGGAGGGGAGGGGAAGGGAAGGATAGCTGGAGGCCAGTGAGCTTCCTTCCCCCAAACTGGGCCTTTCAGCAGGGACCCACTGTGGAGCCCTGTTAGAGCCAGGACAGAAGCAGAGCAGCTCCCTGCCCCACTGGCTCCCAGACAGGCTTGGGGTGAAAAGTGCTGTGGGCTGGGCTTCCAAATAAATTCGGGATCAAAGCCACTGTGCTGAAACGCATCATAATTTTAGCTCTGAGAGAGTGGGTGGTCTTCGAATCTGTAGATCAGAATTCCCTGGGGAAGTTAAAAACAATGAGATTCCCAGGTCCCAATCCAACCTACAAACCAACTCTACAACCCTCATAATATCCACGGAGACCCCCTAATCTGACTTTTAAAGCCCCACAGGTGATCCGGGCAGCTAGTGCAGGACAGTGTTTGAACCAGCGGTAGAGTGTGGTGGCTCACGTGGCCCCGTGAAAGCCCAGGCACCATGCCTTGTCAGAGCTGGGTGGTCTTGGCCAAGTTACTTTGTCCTCCTGAGCCCCGACTGCCATTTAATTGGGTCCATGATGCCTTCTTGATCTTACCAGAAGGTGTCAGTGGAGGATCTTCCCACCACTGGGCTGAGACTGCCACCTGGCTGACAGTGATTGTAAAGCGGCACCAATTACAATCCACTTCCCAATCACAGTGATGTTAAATTGTGGGGAAAATGTGTGTCTTAGAATCAAGGAAAGAGGGTGTCTCCGTCCAGGGGCATGGATTAAGTGAGCTGGCACATCAATGACTGATAAAAGCTAATTTCCTTGTCCTCCCTTCTGACAAGAGTCCCCTATAGGTCCCTCCCAACAAGGATGGGCCTGCGATCTGGTCTTAGGCAGAGCACCCACTCCCTCACAAGGAGCTCAACCCGCTGCCAGACAGTTCACAGGACTAGAAAGCATTTCCTTATCCTGAAGAGAAAAGATGGCTCCCTCTCGTGGGCTGCATTACGCTGCCAGCAGCACACACTGAGCTTGACGGCCTCTTCTAAATGTCCGTGGACTTTTGCTCAAACCTAAGTGCAGAACCCATCCCTGTTAGATTTTATTTCTTTGGTTTCATCCCATTCTTCTGGTTCCTTCTGAGAGCTGTCTGGATCTCAGGGTGATTATCTGATAAACAAGTTCTCTCCTCCTTTGTGTCATCTGAAAGTAGGATAGGCGTGTGTTGTCTTCTTCAAAGAGGTGAGATAAAAATGAGAAACAGGACAGGATCAAGGATCGAGCCCTGTGCCACTGTGGTCTCAAGGACCAAAGACTGCCCTCCAGGTTGGCACCTCAGCCACAGCCTCCAGGCTCCGTGACCAAACCCCGGTGAGGTCCTCACTGCACCATCGCCCAGCCCACCTCTCTCCATCTTGCTTCCTTTCTCCCTCACAATTGACTGCATACACTCAGTTGGAGCCAGTTCATACATGGAGGTAGGGGCCAGAATAACACTGGGGGAGTGAATGGTGAGCCTTAGCTGTCAGGACGAGGCAGGGTATACCTGGGTGCTGCTGGTAAGGAGGCAGGTGGAGTCCTGGGAGGGTGACAGCAAACAGCAAACCAGGTTAGGTTGGAGAATCATGCTTTCATCAGGGTGTCCAAAGTCTCCAAGTCAAGAGGGGAAATGGTTCATCTAGAACATGTGGGCAGGGACAGGATGGATAAAAAGTGGCATAAGTCCTGGTGCTGGGACGTTCTGGAGGAGATGCCTGGGCACAGGCCAAGGTCTTTCTTGTAGCTCCATCTTTACTGAATAGTGACTGTGACTATTCTGAGACATGGTGCCTGACATCAGTGAAGAGATGCTCTCGGAGAACCCAGCCAGCTTCCAGCCACATGGCTTCCTTTGTCTCCACGCCTAAAAACCAGCTGTTGAATAATCCACTCTACAGTCTTTGGACTGACCAGTCTGAAATCGTCAAAATTGATCTTTCTGTCCTTCTGAATGTCCTTGGTTCTCCATCATTTCTCAAAGATTGCCAGCACACTTGAGTTGTCAGAACAAAGTTTTCTCAGAGTCCTGGCATAAACTGTATCTAGGCGTAGAAGCCAAACTCATGAAAGATGCAAAGTGAAGGGCTTAATAGCCTATCACCTCAGGCTCCTCAGAGAGACAAAAGGCCAACCTCCACTTGCTCAGGCCCAGGAACACGCATGAGTCCTTGACAACCTCCTTGTGTTACCACCTGCGGCCACTGAGTCCTCTCTGAGCTTTGCCCAGGACCCCAGGGCTGCTCCTGGCTTCATCCTGGCTGTCTCTCCCCAGGTGACCTTGCATGCATCCCCTCTCTGGGTTTCTTTCTGACGGGGCCATGTTTCACAGCCCCCAGGGCCCCTTGCCCTCTCTCCCACCCTCACAAACCTAGGATGGCGAGCACAGTGCCACCCTTGAGCACCTCCATGGAGCCGGAGCAGACAAAGTAGAGGGCCTGGAGAGCGTCACCTTGGTGGATGAGGTACTCGCCGGGCGTGCAGAAGGCGGGCCGCAGGGCCAGGGACAGTGCCCGCAGGCAGCCGCGGCTGGCTGCCTCAAACAGGGGCAGCTGCAGGACCTCCTTGTGCAGGTGCATGGCGATGTCTGCACGCAGCTCGTCTGGGAGGCTCTGCAGCAGCTGCAGGTAAGCAGGTGGGTTGGGTTGGGGGTGGCAGCCTCCAGCCAGGCCCCTCCCACCAGCAGGCCTCAGGAGCAAGGGCAGGTGTGGGAGGGGCCTTGAAGCCACCCCTGCCAGCATCGTGCTCCACACAGGGTACAACTAGCGATGGGGGCTGTCTCTGCCTCCCTCTCAAGCACTTCAGCCTCCCATGAGCACCCCAACTTTCTTCCTCTAGACCTCAGTGAGCACAGAGCCCCCGGACCTAACAAGGGTGGGGCAGGACCTCAGCCTTTGCGGCTGCTCTCTGTCCTGTGCTGGTGTCCCCCCAGGAGAGAGCTAAAGCAGGGAGGTCAAAAGTCTGCATCCCTCAACTCCCCACCCACACTCCAGACAATATTAGGCCAAGTCTCAAACCCTTGAGGGAGCTAAGGTGAGAAGGGCCAGCCCTGGAGGCTACTGCCGCACCTCGGTGGTGTCAATGCCATTGTTCACGGCCCAGGTGGCCTGGAAGTACTCGAGCATGCGCTGCTTGAGGGGCTTGGGGATGCGATGGATGCGGATGTAGTCGCGCAGGTCACGGGTGCGGCTGTGGTACAGAAAGCGGCGGGCGTACATGCGCTGGATGATGGCCGTCACGTTCCCAAACACCACAGCGTGCATCAGGGCTGGGGAGGGTGGTGAGACGGGGTCACCCACAGGGCCTGGCCTGGCCCGGCCAACACCATGCTGGACACGTCTGTCCTCTCCCACTCCTGGCACACTCCTAGACAGGGCACATGGGCTGCTGGGTGGCGGGGAGTCTTGCAGGCAATTGTGACTCACCCAGATCTGGCCTTGTGTGCCACAGATCCCCTAAAGCAGAAGGGCCTCTGGTCCCGGGACCAGATGGGGAGGGAGGGGCCAGAAGTCTGAGGTGGGACCAGAGGCAGGACAGGACAGCGTGTGGGCACGAGTGGGCCCGGACTCACCCCCGATAAGCATGGTGCAGATGGAGAAGATCTTCTCCGTGTCCGTGTTGGCGGACACGTTGCCGAAGCCCACGCTCGTAAGGCTGCTGAGTGCAAAGTAGAGGGAGGTGATGTAGGCGCTTCGCAGGGATGGGCCACCCAGGAGCTCCAGACCTGTCCCGTTGGCTTCGTTGCTGCCGCTGCTACAATTGTCACTCTGGACAGACCTGTTTCCCACATCCGGTCTCCGGCCCACCAGGTAGTAGGGGGTCTCCAGGCGGCGGGCCAGCTCCTGCAGCCAGCCTGCGAGGGGCAGGGGGAGGGCCTGAGTAGGCAGGACCACACTGTCGGACTGTGGGTGCAAGTGTGCCTGGGGGGTGGGGGACATGCAGATGCAGATCCACCTCCCCATGGCTCCCTGCCACTTGACCCCTTCTCCTCTGCCAGCCCAGTCCACCTCCCTCTTCCTTCAGTCCCCTTCTCCACGTCCCGACAAGACACAGTTGCCATCTCCCCAGCCGGCTTCCACTAGCGCCCCTCTTGCCTATGGCTGGCACTAATCCCAGGTAGCAGGCCTGGCTCTCAGGGGGATCACTGTACCCAGCCACAATCCTGTCCTCATGGTCAGATGGGTGAGGATCCTTCTCTGCCCCGTCCACCCAGGCTCCTCCTCTTCCTCTCTTTCTGAGCCCACTTGCTCCAGAAAGCACCTCCTACGTACACATTCAGCCTCATCCCCCCCAACAACCACATAACACGCCCTCAAGCCCACCCCATGGACATGTTCCTACACACTCTCCATGCTGCACACATGCCCTGCTACAGTCCAGATACAAGGACACGCATGAACACTCAGCCGTGCAAGCACTGTCACAGAGCACAGCCACAGCCACCTGCACGGAAGGGCATGTGAGAGACACAGGTGGTGCTTGCACGCTGACACACAGGAGAGGTGGATACACACTTGCATGGACACAAGCATACAGGGGAAGATGCCCTCAAAGGCCACAGGCAGGCAGGCCCCACACACTCACAGGGATGAGGACACACGGGGCTCACCTGAGGCCCCTGGGCAATCATGCAGATGCAGGCCACACTGGGCCAGCTGGCCGTGGCTGAAGACTGCCCCAATCCCCCCATGCTAAGCACTGGCCTCACCCCACCTTCTCTGGCCTGGCCTGGCCTTACTGGGGTCTCTCACGAGCCCATGGCTGCCAGAAGTCACTTGGAGCCTAGCCAGAGGTTGTGGGGTTCTAGGGTTTAGGATAGGGATTCGCAGGGCCTACAGAAGTCCCAGGGTCCTGGCAGAGCTGGGGGCCGTCGGAGCAAGGGAGAGAGGGCAGACTGGTTGATCTAGGATGAAGACCACAGGGGATAGTGCATGGGGTGTGGGGTGTAGTTTGGGATCGCCGGCTGCAGGGCAACCCCACCCCTCCACACACCCCCAAGCTCCCCGCACTCTCCCCTACACCTTATACATGCTGATCCCTGTGATCCCCACACCTCTCCTCTCACCCATCCATCCATTCAGCAACACTGTATGCCAGGACATCTCAGAGGGGCACACATTACAACTGCCACATGAGGGGCTCAAAGCAAAGTGCTAGGAGATAGGGCTGGAAGGCTTCCTGGAAGAGGTGACATTTGTGACTGGCCTCAAAGCATGAGTAGGGTTTTGATATGCAGAAACTGAGAGAGGTCATTGCTCATGGAAGAAAGGCATGAGCCAAATCCGGAGGTCAAGATTTTAAGACAAGTACAGGCAACCAGCTCAGTTTGGCTACAATGTGGGGTTCACATTGGGGGCATCAAATTCCAGGCTAAGGAACTTAGGGGAATGTGCTAAGGCCTGAACCAAGGTGAGACTTTGCTTTCCAGTTACTCGAGATATGCTGAGAGAATGCAATGGAGTGTGCAAAACCTGTCACCTGCATGCTTTAGTTGGGCCTCTGAGGGAGTCCTTGGGTGGTGCTAACAGTTAACGTGCTCAGCTGCTAACCAAAAGGTTGGAGGTATGAGTCCACCCACAGATGCCTCAGAACAAAGACCTGGCAATCTACTTCCCACAAATCAACCACTGAAAACCTTGTGGAGCACAGTTCTACTGTGACACACATGGGGTTGCTCGCCATGAGTCAACTCAACAACTGGTTACTGGTTCTGAGGATGAAGCCAACTGCCCAGGGGAGGAGGACGAGGGAGGGTGGCACAGTAGCCTCTCCTCAGTCGTGACTGTGGGGCATCAGCAGCTCCTGGAACCCCCGTGTGGGCGGGGTGTTGGGGGCTCTGGAGGCTGCTAGTTTTCGTACTTAGAGATGCTCTGAATTTACCACTCTCAGTATTTAGCAAAGTCTTTCGAAAATTCATCTCCCCCAGGCTAATAGGACTCTGAGGAAAGAATTCTGTGTCCACATCACTGCCAGTGGAGGAGGGGAACCAAGGCACGGAAGCCGTGAGAAGGCACCACCCCACAGAGCTGGGCCAGCAGGGGACTCAGCCTCGGGAAGGACGGGTTTGACTCCAACAAGTGTATATGGTGGTGGTGGGGGGCAGTTTCCCTGGTGAAAGAAGGGGGAGATGATGATGTGGAGGATGGCTAGGTTGCGCTGTGGCAGAGGGGCTGACCTGGGGACTTCGGTGTCTCCATCCACTCTGTTGCTTTGTTGCACCACTGTCCATCTGAGGCCCTCTGACTCAGTGCTCACTGAGTGGATGTCTGACCCCAGAGCAGCCTGACCTCGGACTGTCCCTGGGAAAGGCAGACGCCAAGTGCCCAACACTGCCAAGGAGTATCCTGGTTCTGGTGCTCATCAACTCAAGCGCTCAGGGCAAATCTCCTAGTGGGTCCTGGGGCACACCCAATCTCCTGGGAGCTTGGAGGGCTTGCAGGAGCCTCGGCTGATCAGCTTGGGTTTCTAAGGCTGACCCTGGATGCCTGGTGTCCCACAAGGAGCAGGCAGTCCACGAGCAGCGGCTGTCTGAGCAGCTGGCCTCTCCTCTCTGACTTTCTCTCTCTGACGAGTGATAAAGCCAGTTACTGTGAAGCTTACAAAAGGCTGGGGGATTTGGGGCAAAGAAAGTGAGTTCAATTTTGGACCCGCTGGTTTTCAGGGGTTAGAAATGGCCGGAAATGAGTTTTGGAGTTACAGAGAGAAAGGATGTTCATACTGGCACCAGTGGAATCACCAAGGGAGAACAAGCTGAGGAGGGAGGACAGAGGGGCTCAGGGGTTGGATGAGGAGGCCCCACTGAGGGCTGGCCTGCAAAGAGGTAGAACAGGGTTAGCGGGGTCAACAGCTACAGGGACTTCAAGGAGGATGAGGGTTTGGCCCCAGAAGGTCACTGTGACCTTCTGGGTGACATTTTTGGTGGAGAGGTGGGGGTGGAAGTCCTCCTGGCAGGAGTTAAGACGTGAGTGGGAGGTGAGCCGAGGGAGGCAGCTGTGAAAATGAAGGTGAAATCAAGGAGAGCGAAGACAGAGTGGGGTGGGGGGTGCATAGAAAAGGCAGATTTGGGGCTGAGAAAGAGCTGAGAAGTAGCTGAATGAGATGCGGACTGGAGGTGAGAGAAGGAACAAGAATGTGGCAGGGGCCTGGAAGCCAAGGTGGTGGGAAGCACAGGGCATCAGAGGAACACTGCAGGGCCCTTCGCTGAGAGGGGTGGGGTTTCTGGACGGGTAGGGGCTTAAGGAATGTGACAAAGGTTTGGCCACCAGAAGGCCAAGATGGGTGAAGGAGAGGGTGGGGAGCAGCTCGTCTCAGGGCATGATCTGATGGGGAGCTGGGGCACCTCCAGGCAGCTCACCAGACTCTGCAAGGCCCAGGAGCACAGGCCTGCTGTGTGGTGGTGCCTCTGTCACACTGATACCTGCACGCATTCTCTCTGACACACACATACACCAGCCCCCACATTCCTCTCACAAACACACAGCTGCTTGCACTCACGTTGCTCTAATAAACACGTGCCTCCTTGTACATGTTCCTCTGGCACATATGTTTTAGCACACATATACGCACACTTGAACACGTATTCTTGACACTTCGTATCAGCACAAAAACATGCCCCTGACAGACACATGCTTGCACTCACATTTCTCTGACACACACACACTTGAGTAGACACTTTCCTCTAACACACACACACACACACACACACACACACAGAGCCTTCAGTACCAATCTCAGGCAGCTCGGATTCACTGCTCTCGATCTCCCGCTGGCCAATGTAGAACCAGATGCAGGCCACCCAGTGGGCAAGAAGGGCGAACACAGCCATGAGCAGGGTCAGCACCACGGCGCTGTACTGTGAGTACCGGTCCAGCCGTGGGAGCAGGCGCAGCAGGCGCAGCAGCCGCACAGTCTTCAGCAGGTGGGCCCCAAAGTACTGAGAGGGGGCAGGGAAGGAGGGTGGTCACCCCTGGGCGGGTCCCTCCTGTCCCACCCCAAAGCCCACCTACCCAGTCCAGCCACACTGACCACATTGACCTTGAAGGCGTGTAGCAGGTCGAAGGGCAGAGCCGCAATGACATCCAGCAGGAACCAGGTGGTGACATAATGGAGGCAAATGGACTTTGGGGCAAACACCACCTGCCCCGACTTGGACACGAATGTGGTACGGAAATTCAGTACGATGTCTGTGGGGAATTGTGGTGGGAGTCAGCATGCGGTTGGGGGGGGCGCCCTTTACTGGACACCTTGTCAGCACTTGACACTGTCCCAGGTCCTTTACATACACCTCTGATTTAGTTCTTACAGCAGCTCAAAAAGGCAGACATTGTTATGCCTATTTTATGGAGAGAGAAACTAAGGCTTGGAGTCCTGTGTTACTGGCTCAGGGTCACATAACACTTTAGTGGCAGAGACACAGTTGAAACTAGGTCTGATTTCAGAGCTCACAGGTCACAGACAGGCGGGGGCCCTGGGGAGGGCATGCCAGGCACGACACTGGGTCTGAGGGGCGAGAGGGTGAAGAGCGCGCTTACCAAGGATGAAGAGGACCTCCACGGCCAGGTCGCAGACGCTGGGGGGCCCGCGGGCGGCACTGGGCTCCCGGGCTGTGCTCACGCACACACTGTAGGGCACAGTGACGGCCACATACAGGGTGGCGAGCAGGATGAAGCCATCCCAGGTGGCTCGCAGTGCCCCGCAGTGTAGCAGGATAAAGGGTGACTTCCGGATGGCAGCTACTTTGTACTCGGGTAGGTTTGGCTTCTCCCCAAATACCCCCTGGGTGAGGCAGGGCAGGTCCAGGCAGGGAGGGAAGGAGATTGGCACAGGCTGAGTTTGGATAGTGTCTGGAACAGGCATGCGCCTCTTCTCTCTCCCTGCATTCTCACAGCAACCTCTGATGTAGGCATTGGAGCCCCAATTTTATAGATGAGAAAACTGAGGACCTGGGAGGTCAGCTGACTTAGCTGAGGTTGCATAGCTGCTTAGGGGAGGAGTCAGGATTGAACCAATGCCCATCTGACTCCAAGGCCAAGACTCCCCTCCCTGGCACCCTTCCCTCAGTGCCTAGCCCCCAAAGTGCTGGAGGGGCCTTGGCTGGACCCAGCTGATGCCCTGGACACTTCTCACTGTGACTGGTCCAGTTCCTCTCCCCCATCTCCTCAGCTTGCCCCTCTCCTACCCCTCTCTCGCCAGTGTTTAACCCACCTTATTGAGCTTGTGCTTGCCCTTCGGCTGCTTCTGCAGGTGTCCAGACAGGTGGTAGAGCACAGCTCGGCTCCGCCGCCGGTTGGCATTGAAGCCTTTGGCTCCTGCCCGTCCATATCGGCGCCGGCCACCACCTGCAAAAGAGGAACCAATGAGGAAAATGGGAGGAGCAGCCACACACCGCAGCACAGGGTCTTTGGTGCTGGACACCAGTTGCTTGTCCGTCGATTGGTCTGGCTGACTGACTAGTCAGTCTGCTCAGAACTGGGGGCTCAGGCATTCCTTATTTCTCATGGACACTTGCCAACCCCAGTGCTGGGCATTCCCATGGAGGCTTACAGACACTTCTCCCAGGGCCTGCTTCCAAGAGAAGGAGGTTCAGACCAAGGTCGGGCAGGAGAGCGTCTCCATAGGGAAAGGCTTATCTCCATTGGGAGAAGGAGTGGGGAGGTGGTTCATAGTTGTGAGTGCATTCACAGAGGGCAGAGCCAGCGGAAGGCCATCGGGCAGAGGTGCAGGGGCTCAGGGCAAGAGCCCTGGATCTAGCACAGGAGCCAGAGAGCGATACTGAAGACTTACATAGCAGAGAGGGAGACCCAGGGCAGGGGATGGGGGAGCGGGAATGGTGAGTATCCCCAGTACCTCCAAGTAGCAAAGAGGCCTTGGAGCAGCTTTTGATGACAATTCTGTGACCTGCCCAAAGTCCTGCCCCAACCCTTAGAGGATATAAGAGGAGAAAGACCCCAGTAACTTAAAACAGGCTTTGGGCAGGGCTTCCCCATTAGGTTTACTGTTAGGAAAAGGCACCAGGCCTCTGGGCCTTGAGGCAGTGGGTCTGTGCTCAGCCTCACTAATGAGCTAGAAGGTGGCACTTTACAGGCACTAGTGGAGTTTGCCTGCTTTTGGTTTCTTAGTAAAACTGACTTTTAAAAACTTCAGCTTTGTCTCAACCAGTCTATTTGGGAAAAATGTTTCCATACTTGGGCATGTAAAGATGAGAGCAGCATAAACCCCTCAGCCAGCCAGAGTGGGGGTCAGTGAGTACAAGGGTGGGGGGAGGACCCAGGAAACGCTGAGCCCAGGCTGGGTGCCAAGGTCCCTCACAGACCCGAGCTACCCTACACCCCAGCCACAGCAACTAAATTAATGGCACCCACCTGTCTCCTTCCAGCTGTCACGGCCCCCTCGGTTCTTGGTTTCACTGATGTCCTTGTGAGAGACCAGGAAGAGGGCCACCTCCCCTTTCTCATTCTTTATGGGTATCACATCCAGGAGACACCAGAACGGGAGCCCTGAGACCAAAGACAGACTCAGCCCACCTCCCATTCCCTGCCCTGCCCAAGGCCCTTCTCCACTGGCACCCCTGGCCAAGTCCCAAGCAGAACCCTAGGACTTCCTGGGAAGGGAGTGATAGCCCAATTCTTCATGTGACAGGGCTTGATGGAATAAGGGTTGGGGAAGGCAAGGAAGCAGAAATGACTGCTAGCATGTGTGTTCATAGATCTGTCTTGCTGAGACGGGGGAGGGCAGGGGGTCTGTTCTGTTAGGGTTGGAAACCCAAGACTGGAAATTTTGTAGAGGCTGAGGCTGAGTGAAGATGCGAGAGAGGGGGGTTTGGAAACAAGAGGTGGGTGAGGGAAGAGGGGTAGATGGTGGATGGGTGTATTGAAGACGGGAAGAGCTGGGGAGACAGAGAAGATGGGAATATAAAGTAGGCACGGACAGTGGATGGGGTGGGTGCCCGGCTGGGAGGCTGCACAAGTGAGGCGGGTTGACCAGGTGGCCTCTCACCGCTCTTCCGATACAGGATCAGCTCAGCCTTGAACTCCTTGTGCTCCTCCAGGGCCTTTCGGATTTGCTGGCGGACGAGCTCACTGGTGTCCGGCCCGTAGAGGAAGGAGCAGGCACAGCCTCGCTGCATGACCTCAGCCCGGGAGAAACCAGTGAGGTCGCAGAAGCCATCCGAGCAGTAGACCACGGGGAAGACCCCCGCTACCTGGGCATTGCCCAGCACAAAGTTACTGTCTGTAAGAGAGCACCTCTCAGAGGAGGTTTGAGGTAAGGGAGGGAGGCCCTACCACCCCTCCTTTCCCAAATGCTTGCCAACTCATGGGGGTGTGTGTTACAAAGCCCAGGGATCCTGCCGATGCCCTGCAAGGGCTGGCTCCTAGCAGCGTGAGCAGGAGTGCATTTGCCAGTCATCATGCATGAACACTGAGGTTGGTAAAGGCAGCCTGGGTGGGCAATGTGCCCTCCGGAGTGTGTCCTGAGCAGCTTGGGGTAAGGGGTGGGGTGGGGATGCCCAAAGGAGGACTAAACTACCAGCTTTAGGCCAGCCTCAGCCCCACCCTTATCTCTGCCAGGCTCACCCACCCGCCAGGTAGCCAGGTTGGCTGTCTGGCTCCTCCCACAGGGACCCACCTGGACTGGAAAGCAGCTCAGGCCACCATTCATCCTGCCCTCTCTGTTTGAGCCCCAGCTGCCTGACCTGGCTCAGGAATTAGTGAGTGCCATCAAGAATGGGGGTGTAAGGCTGGTGGCTGAACACGGGTGCTGGGAGCCAGGAATGTATTGGGGAGTAAGGGACACTGAATCAGCCGGCTGCAGGAGCCAAGCATAGGCAAAGGAGATGGATGAGCCTGCATGTGTGTGTATGGGGGCTCAGTAATTGGCTCCCCTCTCAATCAGGAGCCCGTGACCATGGAGGACAATAGGCACAGAGCTGGGAAGCTCCACTGGGGCTGAGTGTGAGGGAGGAGGAGAAGGACGGAAGAGGCTTTCACGACTTTTTCTGTGCTCAGTATCCCAGGATCCAGAAGCTCAGGACGCATTCTCCAACCCCCACCCGCAAGTCCTGGTGGGAGTCTCGAAACATTTCCTAGGGGCTAGACGAACTCCCCAAGGCTGGTGGGTTTAGGCGATGAGGTGGGTTCGGACAAACAGTGGTCTCTTCTCCGAGTCCCGCCTACTTGATATGCATTTGCAAACCTCTTTCCTGAGCATTGCTCCCCTCCCCCACGCCAGTCCAAGGTAATAATTGGGACAGCGCCAGACGCAAGGATGGGATGGGTGAGATTGACTACGGCCGGTTTCGCGCCCCCGCGAACGGAGCACCCCGGGCCACAAGCCTCGGCACTCCTCCTCTGGCGGTTTGACCCCACCTGGAGCAGTGTTGACCCTGAACCCTTCAGGGAAACAGCGCCTGGAAGGAGCTGGTGGTCCCAGCTTCAAGCGGGGCAGTAAGGGGTGAGAACAGGCGGGCGCCAGGCCGAGATGTTCTTGGTGCAGAACGGGCGGGAGCCCTGACCGGGACCGCTTGTCAGGGAGCTAGTGGGAAGAGGGTCGGACTCACGCGTGCCGTCGAAGCGCGTGGCGATGGTGTCCAGAAAGGTGTTCTGCGGCGCCAGGAGCCCCCGCATGGCCGGCATCTTAGGCGGCCGCGGCCGCTCGCCCCATCCCTCCGGGGCGCGGGCGCTCAGCGCCGGAGGAGGGCGCCC